ACTGAGTTTAATTTTAAATGTCCTGCATTTAAAGATCCAGAAGCTGAACATTAAGTCACTGCTTTCTGGAGACGGGAGCCGTGATTGGTTGATTAGTTTAGAAGGAGCAGAATCTGACACGTCACTCCTGCTGCTGCAACCAGGCGGACTGCAGATAAATGTGATTATTAGTGATCAATACGTTGAACCAGTTTAATATACATTAACTAGAGGTCTGTACAAATGTGAAAATGAAACCTATACATAAATTAATAAATATAAAAATGAATCATAGTCTGGGACAAAATCTTCATGCAGCATATATTTAGATATTTATATACCTGGATGAGCTCATCTCACCAAGTTAAAGCCACAAGTTTGATCTGAGCTGATTTAATAAATATTATTTTCTGGCTTTCAGTGACACAAACAGACTGAAACATTTAAAACAGAGAAAAACAGTAAAAGGTTTATGTGACATTATTGAGGCTGGATAAATCTGTTGAATAAACAAGAATGACGCTGATCCATTTCATTCAGGTTTTATTTGATAAAAATATAAATACATATATATTTACTTCAATGATGAATGTTCAGATATGTGATATAAGAAGAGGATCATGGAGTTTATATCTATTCAAATAAAGGAAATAATCTCAGGAACCCAAAGGACCAGCAGTGTTTTGGAAAACAGAAAAACATCAGAGCTGCTGTGACGTCATGAAGTGATTAAATAACAAAGTGAGATGAAAGTTTTCATTCCTGAAATGAATCTGAAACTTAAAGAGTTTAGAAGATGAACGAAACATTGACCTTTAAATATGAACAATAACATTACATTATCTATATCAGAGTTTCCCAACCCTGGTCCTCAGGCTCACTGCCCTGCATGTTTTAGGTATTTCCTTCCTTCAGCCCAGCTGATTTCAATCGATTACTGATTAACAGGTGTTTGTTGAACTGCAATCTGCTGAATCAGGCACATTAAAGCAGGAAACCTATAAAAATAGGACTGGGTGCCTGGGGAAACACTGTTCTATATTATGACACATTTATGTAACAATTCAGTTTTTAAAATCACTTAGTAAAAACCCCATGTTGACTCTATAGATCTTTATTCCTCTCATTTTGTTTCTTTTAATCAAATTGTTTCCACTGATAAAATGGTTGAACTCTTTTCTGTCTCGCTGTTATTATTTAGATCAGAATCTTGTTTCTGTGTCAGAAAACTCTTCACTAAACTACAGCAGAGCATCATCATCATCATCATCATCAGAGCTGCTGCTGTCACTATCAGTCCACTTCTTCTTCTTCTCTCTGTGGTCGGAGTCTCAGGTTTTCTCTCTGCTTCAGTTTCTTCTCTTCTTGCTGAAAACGAAACAGAAACATGAAATTAATTCAGCTGAAATTTAAAATGTCAATCAAAATACACAGAAAGTTTCTATTAATATTACTAAAGTTAACAAAACTTTTTAAATAAAGCTCTTCTGACTGAACTCACCAGACACGTTGAGTCGACATGTTGCTGATCCAGATCCAACTTCAGTTTTTACATCACAGACAAAGAGACCAGAGTCTTCAGTCCTCAGTCTGGACACATGGAGTCTGATTCGTCCTTCTCTGAGGACGTCTTTGTCAATCTGGACTCGTCCTGAAAACTGATCATCCTGAGAATCTGGAATCTCAACTCCATTACTTAACTCAATCAGGTCAACGTCATGTGAGATCCCTCCTCTCTCACGTATCAGATCACATGAGATCTTTATGAATCTGTAGGGCTCAGGCCTGGTGGTGAAGGTCCACTCCAGAGTGATGCTGTGGTTCTCCTCTGCCTCATAGCTGCTCTGGGTCACATTCACTACAAATGTTGCTGCTGAGGAGACAGAGAGGGAAAGAGAGGAGCAGACACACTGAGAACTGGAACATGGGAGTCTTTCAGCTCCATCTAGAGAGCTTTCTGTCACAAAGACAAGATGGAGACTGACCACAGAGACATGAGCTGAGGATGAGGAGCAGCAGGGAGATCATCTTCATCCTGAGAGAGGAAGAGGAGGAGGAGAGGCAGCAGGACATCAGTAACAATATAAAGAACATCTGGAGCTGTACAGTATTATGCCACCTTGTGGTGATAAGTTCATACAGCAATCTTAAGTCAACAGGACATGTTTTCATTCTCTGCAGCTGCTGAACCTTTTATTCAACAACAGTTTGAGTAAAATCAGTTTCTTATAATCAATGAAGAAAAAGACATCAGTGAAGGAGATTTCCTTTTTTACGGTTAAATGAAAAGCGATGTCAAAGTTAATGACAATCACAGCTTGAAAAATTAGAGTCATTTAAACTTTTGTTTTTGTTGCTCATTTCACAAAGCTAAACATGATTACATTACACAAAATTATATTATGCAAGCATTCATAATATAACCATAATGTTGATTATGGTTTACCGACAAGAAAATTGCAGAAGATCAATTTATGCTCATAATGATTAGATCAATTAGCTGATTGGAATGTTACTCTATAACATTCCAACGTTTTGGTTTTAATACAAAGTTTACATTTTTCAGAGACACATTATTTCTTAATCTGTAAGAAATAATCTATATTTCTTACAGATTATTATTATCTGTAATAAATAAAGTTATAAAAACAAAGGTTTGGAACATTTCACTCTATACAATGTATGTTAGATTCATTTTCTGGAATAAGTAAGAAAAATTTTCTTTTTAACAAAATTCTAATTTTTTGTGCTCTTGTTTATTTTCCCAGTGTAATAAATAGAAAATATAAACACAGTTGTTGATGACAAAACATTCATTTTATGTCTCAACACACATTAATCTCCACTCAGTGAATTATCACTGTGTTGAATGAGTAAAATGAATTATTTCAGGAAGTTGACTATTCAGTTTATACGGATGGTAACAAAATGTAATTTGATCTGTGGGCGGAGTCATGAGCCAGGGGTGTGGCTTAACACTCGGCACCTCTTACTCATTCCTGAGTAGCAGAATGAGAAGGTCTTCTGTATTTTTCCTCCTTTAAATGATTTCCGTTTCCGGCCATTCGTGAATCTCCAGTTGAAAGCTTATATTTTCAGAAACAATTTCCTTATAAATTATAAACATATTAAACATTTTCTGATTGTGAAATATGAAATACATTTCGTCATTACAGACATATTGATCTGTGAGCCATTTTAGGAAAGTAGGTTAAAACTTCCTCCTTTAAAGCTGTTATTGTTAATTATATTAGCTGCCATAATGTTTTTCACAATACATGACAATGAATGACTGACTTTTATATTTCATTTGTCTATTGAGAGAAAGAAAAGAAAGAAACGAAGCTGTGAATGTAAACGAGTGACTGATGATGTCACAACTTCGTTTCAGGATGGTGGTAATGCAAACTTAGAGTTTTAGATGATGAGGCAGATTGGAAACCCGCGTTTAGGACTAATAGGAGACAAAAAACATTCAGCTGCCAAGACGGTTCAGAAAGGACAAGTTACAGAAGATTAAATGTTATTTTTTACAGATATGAACTGGGAGATGCACAACTTTAGGATTTCATTGTGTTTCACATTAATTCACAAGAAACGTGAAATGTTTTATCCAACTAAAATATAAAATATAATCAACTTACTTGGACATTTTGTCTTCTTTATAGGCGTCAACACTTCCTTGCTTCAACAACCTGATGTGTCCTTCGGGTTTTCCTCCACAACGTTGCTGTTGATCTTTTAAGGAACAGTTCGGGTCTAAATTATTTGATTTATCTGAGCCTCTCTAGTTAGACGGTCGAGGTATCAAACCAAAGACTGTTTGCTGTTTTCATTACAGTAGATCTGAGAGCAGCCAGTGCCAAACCCACAATGCTTTCCGCTTCTGCTTTCTGGATTGGAGGAGCGCTGCAGTCTTACAGAGAAATGGGCGGAGCATGAGACAAACAGCAGGTCTACTTGACAAACCGTCATGTTGAAGATGGTGTAAGCTGGTCAGTTTTGTCCTTTCAGTTTGAACATTTATCAAATTTGATTAAAAACAAACAAGTTTTATAAATTAAATGATTGCATAGAAGTCCTGCAGAAAGGATAGCATGTTACTAAAAAATAAGTAGTAATTTTATGTAAAATAACATGAAAGATATACAAGTATTAGTAATCATTAAGATTAAAAAACAAACAAGTACCATCCATGCCTTTCATTAATAAAATCTTTTCAAAATGTTTAATGTTATCCTGGCTGCCTGGTCAGTACAATAATCAAACTGTGGTTTAAATATGAACGCTAACATTTAACAATATTTAGGGGATATAAAAATATCTCCTAAATGTGAAGTCATAAGGCCTCAATATTAAAATAAATGTTTGTGTAATATTTCATATCATCCGACTTTAACAGATTCTACTGAAAAACAGAATCAACTCATTTCAATGATGAAGACGTCTCTGTTCATTAAGCTGTCAGCGTCTTTATGGCCCACATTTGTTTTTACTCACAGAGGAAACAGCAGGACAGGTTGTGTCAAGTTGGTATAACTGGTTCTGAAGGTTTTTCTAGATACTGTTTTCCTCTGTTGCATCGTATTTTGGTGCTTCACCAAATACTTGCTTTGTAATTATAGCACTTGGTGCTATGCATCCTCTGCTGCTACCCAAGAGCAGAGTTTACACCTTTACTGCTCACCTGGCGTAGTTCCCAGTTGCAGAGTTTGAGCTTGGTTCCTTTAATTACTTGGTGTATTGCCAAGTAATTTTTGTTGTGAAGCCTCTGACTCTGACACCTGGCTGTGCAGATAGATCCGTTTGTGACTGGAGAATGCCTGGAGACGTCATACATGCTGTCTATAATAAAGCCAGTGTTTCTCTCAGTCAGTTATTCTGCATGAATTCATCTCTCTCCTCATGGCTCTCTGGTTGCTCAGCGTTTCTCTCTTTCTCCCTGGATGTTCTTCACTGACAGGTGAGTATTTGTTCTCTTTTTAGGACTTCATAATCTTTAAAGGCGTTGATAGTTTCTGTTTTCCATCAAACCCAGTTTTGACGATGAAGATGGTGTAAACTGTTAATAGAGTTTGTTCATTTTTGCTCTTTCAAGTTTGTCTCACTTGTTTGTCAAAGTTTTCGTCCAGATGAGACTCATTAAAGAGTTACTTTGGCTTTTAACTCTTTATGGCATTACTTTTTATTTTTGGGGAAAATAATATTTTCCCAGATTCTTTGGGAGCTTAGTGGTCCCTAATTACATATCAATCATGAAATTGGACATCAACGCCTCCCAGAACCAGATTTGGGTTTGTTGCTTCAGGGCATCGCTGTGCTGTCAGGCGTCTGTAAAAAAAATACCTGTAAAACACCAAGGTTTTCTACAGTGATTATGAAAAGTGTTGTACAAATCAAACAAATATCCATCCATCCACCTTCTAACACCCTGTCCCTACTGGGGTCAGGAGGGCTGCTGGTGCTCACTGAATGTAAAATAAACATCTAAAATTAAATAATGAATATTACATTTTAACACATTGCTAAAATGAGTTTTTGTGTATTTGAATGTGTGTGTATGTTTGGTGGAGAATCATTAAGGATTTTGCCATCAGTATTTTTCCCTGTTATGTGTAAAACATCTGGAGGAATTGCTTGTTAATGTGAAAAAGAGTCTATATCACATTTCTGGAACTTGATTATTGACATACCTGTGAATCACCATCTGTTTACCTGATCATCTAGATCAGTGTTTCTCCAACTTGGTCCTCAGCCCCCCCTGCTCTGCATGTTTTAGATGTGCCTCTATTCCAGAACAGCTGATTCAAATGATTGCACAACCATCAGGTACTGCAGAAGCCTGTTAATCACCCAGAGATACAATTCAGGTGTGTAGCAGAAGGGAAGCAACTGAAACATGCAGCACTGGGGGGCCTGAGGACCAGAATTTAGAAACACTGATCTACTGTAGAGGGTTGTAGCAACCAGATTCACATCAGTGACTGGAATTGGGGCTGCAGATTCTTTTTTAAAGAGTTTATAGTTCTGATTCCTTGGTAGAATTTGAGCCAATCAAAGAACAACATTTCCACCAGCTCCCATATTGGGTAGATATGGTGGTGGGACGACTCGCCCTGTGTCGATATTCAAGTTGTAAGGAACACCTTCTACACCAGCCATACAAATGATCCTCCTGCCCCATATTTTTGTCTTTGGCAGGTATTGAATAGGGACATTTGGGGGAAAAAAACAATTTTACCATATAAATAAAATTGTCTTAAAATGATCTTTATATGCTTCTTTACAGACATGAAAATATTTTTAGTTACCCAAAATTTAAGCATGAAGAAAAGTGATCTTCTACTGAGTAGGAGTCCAGGTGTAGCATGTTACTCTGATTCATGGAAGAACTGCTCCTCTTCCAAGTAAAAGGCCACATGAACTTCAATACCTCCAATTTGGACACTTTAAATCTGCCCCTCTAAAATATAAAAAATAATGACACTTCTTTTGATCAACTTAATCTCTGAAACTCCTGAACTTATCAAAAATGGACACAGCGATAAACATTAGCTTCCTATGACATCATCTAAATAATGAACACAACAGAATGAGAGCAAAATATAAAATGTTTATGGGCAATTTTTTAAATTATCATCATACCTGGTGTTAGTGTAGATGTGTCATGATGGGTTTAACTAGTTTAACCAAAATGCAAGAACACAACACAGGAGAATGATGTATAAATAAATGAGTTTATTGCAAACAAACAGAGCAGGTAAGGATCGGGTCCTGGAAGTGGAAGAAGAGCCGAGGATGAGGAGCAGCAGGGAGATCATCTTCATCCTGAGAGGAGGAGGAGGAGAGGCAGCAGAAGATCAGGAACAATATGAGGAACATCTGGACTCCTGAGGAAAATGAAGGTTGTTTAGACAGGACATGTTTTAATTCTCTGCAGCTGCAGAAGTTTTAATTATAAAACAATTTATATAGATTCACTATCCAGTTATATTCTTAGTCTTCTTGTAATTTTGATGGTTTACAGACAATTGCCATATAAAAGTTATAAGAAATAAAGGCTTAGAATATTTACCTCTATAAAATGTTTTAGTTTCGCTTTGGCGTCATGCGCGACTGATTAAACTCCTCCCTCCGCACTGAGGCAGAAAACTTTTTACCTCCGACAGGGCGGATGGCGTCATCTGCGTGGTGCACAAGGACTCACGGTGTGTGTGAGTTTATGAGGCAGATCGCAAAACCGCGTCTAATGCTGACAGGAGACGCAAAACATTGAGCTACCAGAACGATTCAGACAGGAAAACAACCTGGAGAAGGTTAAAAGTTATATTGCACATATAGGAAACACACTATCATGAACTAATTGTTGTGTTTTACACTTATCCAACTAACTCTAAATTATATAAACGGATCCACATGAAATATAATAAACTTATTCGGTTGGTTTGTCTTTTATCGGCCTCAACACTTCGTTGCTCTGTTAACCGACGTGTTGCTGCTGATCTCTACAGCTACAGACCAGATCTAAACTAACAGACCGACAAATTATTTCTGTCTCTCCGCTTCCAGTTGAGCTCAGTCCGGGGATCAAACCGAAGGTTATTAGCAGCTTTCACGACAGACAGCTGAGTGGATAAGTGACTAAACTTCTACTCACTTTAGAGAAAAGAAAGGTCCATCAAAACCCAGAGAACAGCCATGAAGACAGAGAGTAGATCCGTCCTACTGCCTGACCGTCACACTGAGACACACCCAGAACGTGTATCTGCTGCCAGCTCCTCCTCCTCTTACGCACAGCCAAAAGCGCACAGCGCACAAGTGCATTGTAGGAGGAGCTGGCAGCAGCGGAATGAGAAAACAGTATAAATTGAACCTGGTCCTACTACAGCACATCAACTCATTTTCATGAAACTGCCAGACAGTAGGACGGATCGACTGACTTCATGGCTGTTCTCTGGTTTTTGGTCCTTCTTTCTTTCCTTTCTGGATGTTCTTCACTGTCAGGTACAGTTGAGTCTTTACTGTCTTTGTAGGACACAACTAGCAGAGTTAATAGTTTCTATTTATTTTGGCTCCAATTGATCAAATCAAGATTTTTATCACAGGGATATTGGACTGTTTTTCGCTCCATGCTAGTAACAAATCATTATAAATGATTTGAAAGAGGTTTAACTTGAATTGATGTTACTTAGAAAACTGTTTTATTTTAACTCAGAAATTACTATTCAGCAAGTTGACAATGTTGTCTAAACTTTGTATTTATTACAAATGGCTCATTTATGTTAAATTGTAGATGTTGTAACTTTAAATTCTAATTTAAACATTTGTGTCACATTATGTAATTAAACTGTTTTCACCTATTTGAACAACTATTTTGCCTCACATTTTAATTTTGCATAATTTACTGTGTCAACCTAAATAAAAAAAACAACAAAACTAAACTTTGAAATTCTGAAATGTTTTTCTTTACTGATTTATTTATGGGAGCATTATAAGGTTCAGGCTAGAAGTTTCTCCTTTACAAAGAAAAAGACTATCAGAATGTAATTAAAAACACCTTTAAGTCGCCGTAACCATGAAGAATCATTTCCTGAACCTCGGCTCAGTCTAGTAGCAACCTGACCACATCTGCTGTCTCCAGATTCTGTGGTTGAGCAGAGGGTGTTGTTGTGGTTTTCCTCCTCCGTTTAGAAATGAAAAAGAGGAAGTGTTACATTAAAATGACATGAAACTGATTTCCTTTTTCTTCCTCTCAGCTCCAACTTTAAGTTTCAATGACAGTTCAGGAACCACAAAGATTATAAAAAAGAGGGTTCAGTTTTCAGGAGTCTGAAAAATAACTAAATATTTGCAACAAAGACAGTCGTCACCAATGTTCAGGATCAACATAAGTTCTGTCACAAAGACTTCAGAAATAGTGTTTTGTCTCTTAGTGCAGGAATATTTTAACTTTATTATTTTGACCCATTTTTGATGTATATAGTTAAATCCACCCTCAACAGCAGAATGCTTTAAAAATTGAAGTATTTAAAATTTTTCATTGAAATTATTATTGAAATACATTTTCATTTAGTTTTTCACTGTTTCTTTACTATTCCTTAATGTATCACTGGACTGACCTGATTTAAAACTTTCCACTCCTTTTTTTCTTCTTTCAGTTTTTTTTATACATTTTTAACTTAAAAACTATCATTTTCTCAACTCCTGGAGAAAAGAGAAAATAATGAAAACTTACCTCTGTTAGTTTATCTTTCTCAAACACAAAAAAATCTGAAACTTGTAGAGTTCTTTGATTTAAAGAGTAAAAGTTAGTAGATGTAACTAAATGCAGCTCAAATGTTTTACAGTGTATAAAGTCTCTGCTCATGTTAGAGGTGATTTTAGTTAGTTTTTTATTTACTGGTCTCAGACCAGCCTGTTTATCAGGATGTTGTAGGAAGGATCTCCTGCTGATGAACTGAGAACCAAAAGCAGATTAACTCTCAGCATCTCAATATGAATGGAAAGATTTTCTAAAGAAATCTTTACCAATTTTAGAACATATTAAAATATTAAACTGATTAAACCTTAAAGCAACTGAATAAAATACATTTATCAATAATAACCAATAATCCTTGTTAGATCCATTGATCCAGTCCAGGTCAGAGTCCAGTGTCTCTCCTTGGTCTCTGCTGCTGCTGGAAGTGGACCGGTTCACTCTGACCTCTGACCTTTCTGCTCTGTTTCTCTGTCCTGTAGTTCATAAAAACATCTCAGCTGTTCCTGGACAGATCGTCTCTCTGCCATGCCGACTCCCCAACAACAAACCTGCTGTGGTTGTGCAGTGGACCCGACCGGACCTGGAACCAGAATATGTCCTCCTGTTCAGAGACGAGCAGCCGGACCCAGAGAACCAGCATCCATCTTTTAGGAAGCGGGTGGAGCTGCAGGACAGACGGATGGAGGACGGAGACGTGTCTTTGCTTCTGAGCAACGTGACGACCAACGACACGGGAACATACGAGAGACGGGTTTTCCAGAGAGAAGCAACCGGCAGGAAGAGACGCACTTTGACCTCTGACCCCATCGGGACCGTCTTCCTGGACGTGGCGCCTCCTACTGGTGAGTTTTCATGGTTTCTATGTTCCAGTGAAAGAAGGAAGCTGCAGGTTTAATGTTCAATCAGTGAATCTTCTTAAAGGTAAAATGTCTCCAGAGTCTCTGTGGCTAATCTAGGGGGAATATCCCTTTAAGGCCAGATGTGGTTCTGGTTCTGCAATGAACCTGTCAGCCCAGATGTTTGTGTTTGTAAAGCTGCTGCAGAAGCAGCTGGTCTGAGAGCAGCAGATGAAGAGAAATGGATTCTGACCTTCAGCTCTGATTCTGTTTGACAGAAAACAAGGAGGGAAGAAAAGAAGATGGAAGCAGAAACAAACATGTTGGACTGATTGTTGGAGCCGTTCTGATGGTTTCACTGGTTACTGGGTTGGTTCTTCGTCTTTATCTAATGAAGCAGATGAACGAGGAAGCAGATCCAGATCAGATCAGAACCAAACTCTCAGCTTAGAACTTTCTAGAACCTCCAGTGGATCCAACATGGATCTGCAGCCGTTATGAAACGTTGAAGCTTCAGATTATTGATTATTGTTACTGATCACAGAAACATTTCATCTGTTTTCATTCAGTCATTTCTATGCTTTTATTTTGTTGCTGCAGCTTTTCTACTTGTTTTATTAATTTATTTTTTTACACAGACCAGCTCTGATCTGATTTGTAATTTATATCCTAATTAATGAGATTAATTTAAACCAAAAGTTTCTCTCCACCACCAAGAATTGATTCTGTATTTTTATCTCTAAAATGAGCAAAATGACAAATAAAAATCAATTGTTGCTCTTTATGTTTTCAGTGTTTTGATGTTTTTTTCTGACTTTGATTTTTATCTGAAGTTACATCAGTAAACAGGAAGTAGAAATGTATGAATCTGTTACATTATGATCAGTTAATGCAGAAATTATTTATTTACAAATTATGTGCCGAGTGTTGAGTCAACTGAATGACATCATCAACGCCCGTTTAATATATAATTAACTCAACCTGAAGTGAAGATCACTGAGTGAAGCATCAGGATGAAGCTGCTGATCAACTGATCAGATCAATATTTAATAATCAGAAATAAACACATTTAATTAAAGGAAACTTTTCACATCAGAACTGAATAAAGACAGAAAGGAGAAAAACTAACTTTCACTGCTGAGCAGCTTTTAGTCAGAGCTTAGAGCGCCACCATGTGGACAAAGAGAAACATTTCAGAAGCAGTGGCTCTGCTTTTACCTCCAGATTGAAGTCACTAAGTGATTTAAATCTCATTTATTTCTTTGATCAAACGTTTAGAACATCTAAACTGAAAAAAGATGAATTAAATGACAGTTTTGATCAAATCTGCTGAGAAAATGCAGAAACTTAAGTCATTTGACAAATAAAAAGTTAAATTATCTTTAATCTACATTCAACATGGAGTCCAGACATCTTTCTATAAAAACTGATTTATTTACAACATTTTAACACCATAAACACAAAAAATGAAGCAGATAAAATGATCACAGTAACAAAACGTTTGAGTTTTTAGACAGGAAGAAGGTAAACTACATCCACCCTGAGGCCAGACCAGAGACATTGGTTGCCATTGACAACAGGACACAGCGGTGGAGGAGTGATGCTCTGGGCCTGGTTTGCTGCGTTCACATCAACCAGGAACTGATCTGGTTACCAAAGTGATGAAGAATGAAATGTGAGGTCATCTCAGCTCAAACATTTAAACATTTAGTAAATCCAGATCTAGTTAAATTATTCATCTCGTTCATTAAAGTTTTCCTTCTCAGTTTTTCTCCTCCCTCTCAGACTTTATCAGCCTGTAAAAGCAGAGCGATGTTTCTGTGTTTAGCTTTATCAGCTGGTTTCCATGCCGACCTCTGGGTCTGAAGGACTGTGAGGTTCAGCCTCTGCTGGTCTGAGAGCGTCTGCAGCATCAGGACCAGCAGAGAAACTCCTGATCTGAAGGCTTCAGGATGCTGAGCTGATCAGAGATCAGCAGCTGAGCTTCAGGATGTTTCAGGAGGCTGAGAGCAGCAGCTGCTGCTTCCTGACCACAGGATCCAGAAACCAATGAGGAGACGATGGAGTCATGATGAGACATTAAAGAGGAAACAAGCAAACAGAGAGAGATTCATTCAGGGAGAACAAGATGGAGACACAGCTGGTGGAAAAAGAATCATCAGCTTCTCAATGTTTCAGTTGTAAAATTGAAAAAACTTTGGATACATTAAAGTCTTACATTTATCAACTTTTCTACAAAAACAAACACTGATGATGGTAAAAATCTACATTAAAAAAGAAAAACACAATTAATGTTTCATATATAAAAATAATCATAGAAAATAGTAAAAATATTGACCTTTATAACCACAACTTAGTGTTTGTTCATTTTATCAGATAAATATCTTTGGTTTCAGTAACAATCAGTTGAATCAGCACTTAGACACAATAACTGATCAATGGTTCTGACTGAGACAGAAACCATTTGGAAATGATTTAAAACAGTAAATAAAAACACAATAAACAAAAGCATAAAAATAAAACCTTAGATAAATTAATAAATCTTAGATTGAAACAAATCTGACCTTTGTCAAATAATTTCATTTCTTCGCCTTCTTCTCTCTGTATCCCAAATAATAAAGATTATTATTAGAGCAATCAGAGCTGGGGGGGTCAGTGCCAGAGCGATGATGATGATAATGCTCCTTCCTCTCTCTGGTTCTGGAGTCAAAGTTGGTCTCTGAGTTTGGATC